GGGGAGCTCTGACGCGAGGCCACGGCCGGACGCAGCCCCAGCCAGGCGAGTCATAACCGCCGGCCGGCAGCCACGGCCTGGGTTAAAGGGACATTCCACTGCCCAGCAACTCACATCCCTCTAAGCCTCCCTGCCCCTCCACCCCTGGGCGAGCGGCATTCAGGCCTTCCTTGGGGGGACGCCGGCCCCTCCAGCCCCAGGAACAATGCGACCCTCCTGCCGGTCAAGCAGCAGCCACTATACAGCCCAGGAGATTGGGGCTCAGGGCCCTCCCCACTCTAGCTGGACTACTTCAAGGTTTCCCTCCCTCCTGCCTCCCTCTGGTGCTCCCTCTCTGTCCTGCAACTAGACTGATCCGTCTACTGTCCCTTCCAACCCGTAAGAGCTTTCCATGGCTCCCCATTGCCCTCGGAACATAGCCTTGGCTTCTTCAGTCGGCTAATAAGACCCATAGAGTCTGGCTGTGACCCAAGGGCTCTGGACATCATCCACAGGGCCCTGAACCTGCCTCCCCCTCTCTTCCAGGGCAGCAAACACCCCCTCTCTCACATTCATGCTTTGCACCCGCCTTCCCTCTGCCCCGAGTGTGTGCCCCCCGTCCTGGCACACTCCTACTCATCCCTCTATGCCCCACTATAACGTCGCCACCCCTGGGGAGCCTTCTCTGGCCCCCCCCAGGCCGAGTGAGTCAGTCCCTGCCCTCCGGGATGTGCCTCTATTTCAGCTGTTATCTCTGTAGTCACGTGTTTAGAGCTCGGTCTCCCCAGAGAGCCCCATAACTCTTCGAGGATGGGGCCAAGGGGCTCATTTACCTTCCTCCCCCAGCACAGGGGGCAGGCCGGCTCGGTGCTCTGTGAGTCAGTAGGATTGTCTCTGTACCCCTCTTCTCCAGCTTTCCACAGGATGCTATTACCGTCCCCACCCGCCGAATGTCCCGCCGCTGCTCAGGTCCCAGCCCAAGGGGGCCGGAAGTGGCTGCCCCCACAGACTCCAGATGGCAGCTGTCAGAGGGGCCGGAAGGACAGACAGGAGAGTTCTGCTGGCTGGGCTGGGGGGTGGGGAGGAGGGAAAAGGTGAGGGCAGGTAGAAGAAAGACAGCCAAGTGCAGAGGGCGCCAGAGCTGAGAAGAGAACAGACGGGCGGCCATGGTGTTGGTGTCCTCCAAGGGACGACAGGAAAGAAGAGGATTTTTCTAAAGAATTAGCTCTTAGAGTCAGCTTGTTGAGCTCAGCATTCCTCAGAGGCCAGACCATGTGCCTCTCGCCTTCAATGTTGTTACACAATCTAGTGGCCGCCTTGGAAATGCGTTTTAGGGAACATCTCTGCAGGCTCAGGGCAGATCTCCCTGGAGTGACAGAGCTAGAAAGAATATGTTCCTAAAAGAAGGGCCTGTTCTCCCGAAGACGAGAGAATGAATTCTCTCTAGATGAGCACTTTCTGACTCGGGGTCCCTGCCGGAGGCTGGGACGGCTCTGCCCGAAACGACACAGGACACATCGCCTGTATACACCGCTGCAAATTTTTCAGCCACGATTCCTTGCCTGGTGGACCCACCTCTCCCGGACCACAAGGTCCTGGAAGGGCCATGAGAGGACACAGCCCCCTATGGTCAAGGCTGGGTATGTAACCTAGGGTGGGGCCATCCCTGGGACGTAGGGGACTACAGCGGGGCCAGTCAGAATCTTCTATGAGATTTTACCGAAGGGTACTGGAAGGAAATTGGGCTCTCACATTTTTAAGGACAGAAGTCCCTCTTTCCCGGGGTGCCTGGGGCGCTCAGTCGGTTAAGCAATCGACTCTTGATTTTGGCTCAGGTCGTGATCTCGCGGTTCATGAGTTGCAGTCCTGAGGCGGGCTCTCTGCTGGCAGTGAGGAGCCTGCTTGGGATCCTCTCTTCTTCCCTCTCTGCCCTTCCCCTGCTCATGCACCCACGTGTATGCTCTCTCTCAAATAAATAAATAAACTTAAAAAAGAAAAAAAAGTCCATTTTTCTCATGCATGGAGAAACCGTCCCTGACAATGAAGCCAATGCACAGAAAGAGAGCCAGGAAATGGAGACAGAGAGAGTCCCTGAACACTATTATCACTTGGCTCCTGGATCAAGCTATGCCTGAAGGCCTCTCTTAGACTTCCCAGTTACTTGAACACAATTACAGCATCAAATTCTTTTCGCTTCAGAGAGTTTGAATGTTTGTATCATTTCCAAACAACAGCCCTGACCGATACGCACAAAATGCACCCTTTTCCAAGGGGACAGCTCTGGGGGGCTCAGTCGGTTGACCTTTGATTTCGGCTCAGGTCATGATCCCAGGGCCATGGGAGGGAGTCCCGCATCAGGCTCTGGGCTGAGCGGGGAGCCTGATTAAGACTCTCTCCCTCTGCCCCTGTCTACTGCTCGTGGTGTGCACGCTCCCAATCTCTCTCTCTCTCTCAAAGGACAAAAAAAAAGACTGAGACCGACGAGAAGAACCTCCTCCTCACTCGAAGTAGAGCAAAAGGTGGCATGTGTTGCTTACTATGGCCTTCTAAGGCCTAAAAACATGCCTTTGTGCCTCAGTTACCTCATCTGTAAAATGGAGATCAAAAGACCCATTTCTCAGGTTTGTGGCGAGAAGGAAAAGCGTAAGACATAAGGTTCCTGGGCTGCAACGGGCAGGCGGTAGGAGCTCAGTCTGCGCACATTCCCTGCTCGTCTCCCAGAGAGGGCCCCACGGTTTATACCTCTCTTATGCTGGAGAAGAATGTGCCCTAAGCTAACTAACCTTCCCTCCTGGGAGCTGGCCGTCTCCTCCGAGGGAAAGCGGAGTGCGAGAGCGCGGAGGGGGCAGAGGAAACTGCTTGTTCATGTTTGTCTCTCCTACCTGCAGTAAGACTGTTCCCCCAGGGATTGTGAGCTGTAAACAGTACTTCGGGGCATTCTCCCAGGACAGCAGCTGAACGTCTTCAATAGCGCTGTAGGAGACCGAGTTTTCCATGTACCCAGTTGGCTGCAGCAAAAAGAAAAAAAGAAAGAGAGAGAAGACACACATTGGTTACAAGATCAGGCACAGTATCCATGCCTCAAAGAAGGTTCCAGAAAACATCCTCCCACCCCCCCCACCCCCCCCATTCTGGCAACAGGCAAATTGAGTTGGTACAGACACGGGGCGACTCTGGAGACCAAAGGAACTCCGTCTTTCCTAGCATCCCAGCTGGCAGGAGGGGGCTGCAGTGGAAACTCGCCCCCGTGTTTAGAGCTGTAGAGTCGGGACCAGACTGGGGGTACCTTAAGGGCAAAGCCTGTACCCTGTTCCTCTGGGCGTTCACGGGGCCCAGCACAGGGCAGAGCCTGGATCCCTCCAGCCCTCACTGTGTCCAAGCCACTGCCTTCTCCTGCCCAGAATGCAGTCATAGACCCCCTTGGATTTCCTGGTCTCGTCTCCCCACCCAGATACGCACTCTCCACTCGAGACCCAGGGCCACATTCCAAGTCGACGAACTGTATCCCCCTATTCCCTGTTCAGTGTCTTTCCACAGCTCCCGGTGGCCCAAGCACGAATCCCACGTGCCCCTCCACCCCTGCCAGGCTCCTTCCTCCAGCCGCACCCACTTTCTCTTCTCCGTCGGCCCTCCCCAATGGCCCACCCGGTGGCACCACACAGTTAGCCTGCCCTTTGTCCCCAAACGGCTGTGGCCCAATCCCTGGCATCTCCTCCTCCACTGTCCAGGCCTCAGCTCCACAGGTCTTCTGGGGGGCCTGCTACCCCCCAGACCCTAAAGCCCACCTGGCCACATCCTTCCCTGTGCCCTCGGCGCTCCGTGCACCCCATTTAATCACTGTGGACGCCTACCATATGTCATCTACTGATGCCTGCCTCCTGGCCAGGCTGCAGCTCCGTAAGGTCAGCCCCATGTCTGTCTTGCTCCCTGCCCTCTCTCCACAGAGCCTGGCACATGGCAAGGGCTCAACAATTTGTGTCAAAAGGAAGAACTGGAACAGCTTTCGTCGGTCAATGCTGGGGTGAGGGCAGGGAGAGAGAAACTCACAGCCGCTCACTACTCTCTGAGGGAGCTCCCCTGTCACGGAGAGAAGGCACCAGGAGCCAAGGGGATGCACTGGTCACCAGGTATCAGCAGCGTCCTTATCGCCCTGACCCCAGGAAGCCATACTTTAGCAGAGCCAGAGGCAAGCGTAGCTTAGCCGAGAAGGCAGAATGTGACGGCTGACACGTCCCCAGCCGTGACACGCGCCAAGCGAGGTCTCCTTCCATCCTCACAACGGCCCCGTGGAGCAGGTGCCAGGGCCATCCCACCGCACGATGAGGAACCTGAGGTGTCACATGACTTGCCCAAGGTAGGCCAGCTGGGACGGGGGCTGGCCAGGGCCGAACCGAGCTGGTGACTCAGGAATCGGTGCCCTAACCACTCCCCACTGAGCTGCACACAGGAGGGGACGCAATGTAAAACCCATGGCCTGACGAGTTCATTCTACCATCAGGATTTAGGACCGCCACCAGGTTTTAAATTTCCATTTCTGTCTGCCTAAGTTGAGATGCAGTGGTGGTGGTGGAGAGGGCTGAGGGCACAGGCTGCGACAAATTTCCCTGATATGATCGGTCACCGGGCTCAGGAAGGGAGAGAGGTTGATCAATACATTCGTTCTTTCATTCATTCATTTACTCATTCACTCATCTGACGTATTCGTTGAGCATCTATTATGTTATAGGCCCATATGCCGGGTGCTGGAGATACAGCAGTGGATGAGACAGGAGCCCAGGGGGGCAAGGAGATAACAAACCAAATACACAGATAAACAGCAGGTGCTGCACCAAGAATCCAAGAGGGTGCGCTCACAGGGGCTAAAAGCTGCGGTGCCCGGTGCCCCGGAGAGGTGGAGCAGAAGTACGCCCCGGAGCTCGAAGCTCGTGGCCAGTGCAAAGGCCCAGGCGTGGGAACGAGCTGGGCGTGTTCAGGGAGGAGACTGCCCAAAGGAGGAAGGCCACTCCCAGAGGGTCCTGTGGGCCCAGCCAGGGGTCTGGGGTGGAGTGTTGCTTGGGGAAGAGACTCGGGAGGAGGGGACAGAAGCAGGAACAGCCTGGAGGCTCCAGAGCAGGTCCCTAGCAAACAGAGGCGATGTGGGGGGGGAGGGGAGGCAGCAGGGGAGGGGCAGTCAGATCCCTTCTGCCCTTCCCCAAAGGCACAGAGCCCACCCCTCAGCACCAATCCCAGGAGTCTCTGTGTCTGACCAGGACAGTTGCCGTGGTGCATCCCAGAGGCAGATGTGTGGGCTCCCCTCACCTTGCAGCCTGTGCCTGCGCCCCATGCACTGTTCCGTTCTCGGTATTCCGCCATCAATGACTCAGCTCTGACTGCACATCTTGTCCCGAGAATATCCGTGCAACCAGGGGCTCGGGGGATTGGTTAGACACTTATTATCTGAACCCACGTTCAAGTATTTATTGTGTGCTGTCTCCCCTGCTAGTGTTCCAGCACAAGAGCAGAAATCTCCACCTGTTCTGTTCCAAGTGCCCAAACAGACCCTGGCACTGAGACGGGGGTAGTCATTTTCTTCTAAATGAAGGAATTATTTTCCTAAATAACACAGTGTTCATCCATGTATTACTTCTAATCATGACACAGAACATACTTGGGGAAGATGCTTTCTGGGGATCATTTTAAAAATTAAATTTTAAATTAAAACTTAATTGACAAATGAAAAAAAAAAAATCTCCTTTCGGAAGCAATGGCACCCGGGTACCAGATGCGCCAAAGGCCTTTCTGTAGTGGCCCAAGTCCACCTCCCTCCCTTTACGAGGTCTGGTCGGCCTCCAAACTCCATGCCGTTGACCCCTTGAGACATACAGAGGCCAGAGGACACGGGTTGAGCCATGGCCACTAACACATCTGGAAAACCGCCAGACCACACCAAACAAGAGAAAGATAGCAACGCCCATTCTGTAAATATCTGGACTCGATGATCCAAACCGAGCCAACGGCCAGCCTCGTTTCTTTAGAAGCGCACCTATGGGCCTCAGAGCTTCTGCCTCCCACCGGCCTCCCCGGGGACCCTGGGACACGACGAGGCTCCGCACTGCCCCGTGTGGCACCAAGCCCGTGGCGACCACACGCTCGGGGCGGGGTGACCACTCCCGACATGTGCGATGTCCAGGAGGCGGGGCTTGCCCGTGTCTGCCTTTCTCACGACCCTGCTCCAGCTGCTTCAATGTGGCCTTGATTAGAAGTTACAACACAGGCTTTTTGGGGAAAGGTTGGGTATAAATAAATACATACTGGTTTTTAATAGCAGACGTTCTGCTTTCCCACTGTTCGAAACAGTACTGGCTAAAAGCAAAATGTGTACAGAGAGACCTGTGTTTGAGTCTCTTAACTGTGTGGCTTCATGCAAGTTACTGTACCTCTCTGAGTCCATTTCAGCCAATGGTAAAACGAGAATTTATCAGACAGGATTATTTTCTAATAATCCTTAAAGGAGACCCAGTCTGTCAAGGCTTAGCACCGCATCTGGAACATTCTAAAAAGCGCAGTAAAATGAGGTACTGCGAGAAACAATAAACTCTACCTCTAGGTTCTTTCTCCCCCAGACCCATAACCTCTGGTCTAACTGTGACAAAAGGATCAGATAAACCCCAACTGAAGGACGTTCCTCACAACACCTGACCAGTACTCATCAAAACCAAGGAAAGTCCAAGCAACTGTCCCAAACATGAGAATTCTCTGTCTATGGAGGAGGACCACTCCTTGCACTGTGGGATCCCCAGTGGGATCCTGGGACAGAAGACGGACATTAGGTAAAAACGAAGGGAATCAAAGCATGGGCTTTAATAACAGCATATCACTACTGGTTCATTAGTTGTGACAAATGTATCATGTTTCTGGGAGATGTTCACAACTGGGGTAGCGGGCTTAGGGGTCCATGGAAACTCTGTGCTGCCTTTGTAACTTTTCTGTACATCTCAAACTGTCCTAAGATAAAATGTTCACAGACAGAAATTAACTGCTGCCATGTTATTACTAGCATCGTCTTCGACGACAGAGCCTAGGCAGGAGCCCAGGGGGCTTACAAGGGAAAGGGGACGGATCGGGACTGAGAGTCCCTGAATGCTCTCTTGGGATTCAGGTGTGAGCCAGTGCTGACCACGGGCCTCCTTCGTCCGGGTACTTTCACACGGCTGGGGCGATTTCACAGATAACTGATAATTCCTTGGTAATCTGAACACGATGATCTGAGTTACAGTGCAGGAGATTCCTACATGGGGTAAAGGCTGAGTCAGATAAAAAAGAAAAATTTAATTCCCCTCCACTTGAGGGAAGCTGGGAAATCCAGCTCAGAAAGGTACATGTAAGAGAACAACAAGCAGACTCGGTTGTTTCTACATGTAAAACAGTGCGAGGCCATACTGCACGATTCTGTGTACGTGACGTCTCGGAAGGAGCAAAACTACGGAACTTGAAATCAGACTAGCGCTTTCCAGCGGCCAGGGTGCGGGTGGGGACCAGTTACCAAGGGGCACGGGGAGCTGTGTGGGGTGATGGAAATATTTTTAAAAAAAAATTTTTTTAAGTTTATTTATTTATTTTTGAGAGAGAGAGCGAGAGAGCATTGTGAGTGGAGGAGGGGCACAAGAAGAGAGAGAATCCCAACCAGGCTCTGCACTGTCTGCACAGAACCCAACTCGGGGCTGGAACTCATGAAGTGTGAGATCATGACCGGAGTTGAAATCGAGAGATGGGACGCTTAACCGACTGAGCCACCCAGGTGCCCCTGGAAATAGTCTGTATCTCGATGGTGGTGGTGGTGGTGGTTACCTGACTGTGTATCTTTGTCAAAACTCACAAATCTACACCCTCAAAGGATGAATTTTACTGAAAGTAAATTATAGGTCAAACCTAAGAAAGGCAATGTGTGAATACTGTAGATGATTTGGAAGCCGATGAACAGAATGAAATCTTTCAGATAAAATCACGTCAAGACCACTCATTAGCACTTTGGTATATTACCTTTATATTATCCTCCTGATTATTTTTTACACATGATTTTTTTTCTTTTTTTTTTTACAGAGTCCAAGTCATACAATACATGTAATCTTGTGACTTGCCTGTTTTTTTTTTTCTTTTTAACATAATGTTCCACCACATGCACATCGTATATTCTGGACAATAATTTGCAGAACTATTATTTAGTGGCTATAAAGCATTTGGCCACTGTTTTATCACTGCTTCCCACCTCCCCCCACCACCATGGACAGTGTGGTTGTTTCATTTTATGCCACTATAAACAACTCCACAATGAACATCCTTGTGAAACGTGTTTTTCTACCCTATATTTAGGATTATTTCCTTAGGCCAGATTCCCAGAAATGGAATTACTGGGACAAAGGGTAAAAGCATATTTTACGTCATTGCCAAATTGCTCTCATTAAAGAGGTATTAAAGAGAACCGGGGAGCCCTGGCTAAGGCTGGGGGGGCCTTCGTCCTGAGCCCCGAGCCTGGCTGGGTCCTGGAAAAGCCAGGCTCTGATCCCGGTGAGCTCAGAGGGACCACATGGCGGCCAAGTGCCCACAGCCCGACTGCGCCGCACAGGGGCTGGGATCACAGAAGTCTGCACACAGGGGTCCAGGCGCATGGGGACGCTGCTCTCCCGTGGGAGTTGAGGTGCCTCTGTCCTTTTGCCCTTGGGGACTGATGAGGGGCTAGCTTGGGGGTCTTGGTGTCCGCCAGACCAGGAAGAGAGCACTCCCCTTCTGCTTCTGTTTCTGAGATGAGCTGCTTCTCTAGCATCCCCTCGATGCCCGGATCTGGGCTCAGGAGAGCAGAGCCTGGAGGGGCTTCGTGAGGGCCCCTAGTCAACAAAGACCCTGGGAGCTGACATTCCACACTGGGAACCCCCTCGGACCTCCCACGTCAGAGTAGGCAAGGAGTGGGGTGACCAAACTCCCCTGAAGCAGCCCCTCCCCCAGAGGCCCCCAGGCTGCACCTCCCCCTGCTTTCCAGGGAGCCAGCTCCTTCCCACCCAAACCTGCCTGGTTTCCATGGGGATTCCTCTAAAAGCGAATGTGAATCATGATGTCTGCGACCCCCAAGACGAGGCTCAGGCTGACTCAAGGCATATGTTGGGAAGGTGTCCAGCACCAATCCCAGGAAGGGGAGCAGGGAAGAGGCTCCCGGACCCCAAGAGGAGAAGCCGGTCTGGAAACACCCTCCATGAGCTCACTCCCGAGGCAGGTGGACGTGGGAGGCTGGGAAACCTTGCCCCCCGGGGGACCCGGGCTGAGAACAGCAGGCTGTTTGCCATGGGTGGGGGTGGGG